AGAGGTAAATAAGCACCATTCAGCTGTGGCTTTGTGATCGGCAGCGTGTTCTAGCTAGTAGTGAGACTGCTGGTACTTGTTTTAGTCCATAGACGGCACTTTTGTGGCTTTTTGTAGTTGTGCTAGTTCGATGACTGACGCTCTGTCACAGTCCTTTTAGATTGCAATTTCTCTCATTCGATCTGTGCTGGCGCCTAGTGACGCTCGCCAGTTTGTGTCGTTTTCGTTTCGCTCATCTTTCCTTCATGAACTATTCGTTTTGTTGAGATTCGTTGTCTCTTCGCTTGAGTTGTTGCTACTGCCGCCGCCGCTGTCACCGTTGCTCGAACAGAGTGAGTTCCGCTAGGAACAATGATGTGATGGGGTGGATCCGGTTTGTTCTTGCCTCACGGTTATGGCGAGCGGGCGCTGCTCCCTCTTCGACTGCTATGGTCGCTGACTCCGGGGTGGCTGGTCTGTGTCTTCCCCCGGTTTTTTTCTTTGGTCGTTGTCGTTTTCTTCTTCTTCGACTTTTCTGTTTCGTCTGCTGGTCCCGCTGTTAGCTGGCTCTCGTGCCATTACCGGAGATTATGCTATTTCCACTCGTATCGAGTAGGCAGCAGCAGCAGCTATTCGGTGGTCGGCTGCTGAGTGGCAGTAGCGAGCGAGTTAGTAAACGAATTGGCGACTCGCTAAGCAGCAGTCAGCCAACGGCGAAGAATGAAAGCCGGCAAACGACCGAACCACTGATCAAGGCGCCAGATGGGTCGTATGCCTGATACTAACACTGCAGCCGCTGGTGTTGGTGATGCTATTCTGTGCGTTGGGCGTCGACGAAGATGGCGCCACTTTTAGAAGTAGTACACACGATATGGTGGTAATACAAAACATGTGTATCGCTGCTGCTAAGCACGCTATGCCTCTTATACTGATTCCTTTGCTCTGCACCCCAGAGTAAGTTTCTATCGGGGTCTGTCGTCGTCATCATCATCATCATTATCATTGTTGTTGTTGTTGAGAGGCGAACAGCTGGGAGATTGCGCGCACAGCATGTAGTAACGAAGCACGATTGTACTACTGTTACGTATCGAAAACAAAGAGAAAGAGTCGGCTTGAAACAGAAAGGAGAGCAATGTTCAAGGGGAAAAGGCGTTGTGAAGGAAGTGGGGTGCTCGGATGGTGGCGAATTTCGAGGGACATTGCTCGCCCCCTAGAGGGGTTAGTGGGAAGCGCGGATAAACTCTACACCGACATCAACAGTAGCAGTGACGACGACGGCAGTGGCGTGCAACCCAATTAGAATCAGGAGCTTGCCGCTTCCCTTCGGGAAAACACTCAGGTAAAAACAACTGCGATAGCAACGACGATAAAGGCGACAACGAGTCAAATCAGGAACGGAAACGACCAAACAGCAAACAGCCACTGCTACTGTTTTAAGGCGCCTTATTTTATAGCGCTTGTGCTTACAAATTTTCGCTGGCGTCGTGTGTTCCTGTTCCTCTTTTGAGCTCTGTGTTATACATGACAAGGGGACTAAAGCGGCAGTGATCGGTGCAAATGTTACGACGGTGGTCGGTGGGTCGCCCTCTCGCTTGGATGAGCGACTTGCTAGCTGGAAACAAAAAGGTCCAAGTGAATTCGGCAGATGGGAAAGACAGCAGCGAGAAATCTTACAAGCACCGGAGTAACTGAAGCGACGGCAATAGCAGCAAGCGCCAATCTTCCTGCGACGCAGGTGAAGAAATGGTACAGGTTAAGCGAAGAACTTTACTTTTATTCCTACGTTCTTCGCTTTCTACTGTGGTCCCTCTTTCTCCAGTGAGTACTCCACCCTGATTTATATTGAACGTATTCGGCTGGCATATGAAACTGATGGCGTTCGTGTTGAGAGCAGGTAGTCAATAAAGTTTTCAAGATAAGAAGATGTACAGCCTTTGCGAAAACGTATGCTTAGCTTTGTATATCCATACATGTACTATATCTCTAAATACAAGTAGATGTATTTTTTCTGCGGTAACGAATCCTTTTGTTCTTGTTACCTTTCATAAAGCTGTTGAATATCTTTTTGCTCAGTCTGCAGCATAACCCAATGCCTCTTAAACGCATGACAACCTGTGCCAACGTTGGATGGTATGATTGCCACCTTGACCGTAGGTGCTGCATGGTGCCTGGCTGATTGTTGGCTTCATTTATTCGCAATGTCGCAACGTTTCCACAACTAACTCAGAAGTCCTTCTCAGCAGAGGAAAAACAAACGTTGACAGGCGGCACTTTCAGGCTACCGTAAGCTACAACAAGCATAGCAGCAAACGTGCGGAGTAGCCAAGCACGAATGAGTGCAGAATATTGGCAGGGTCGAATATTAGAGTATAGGAATTGCGTATTTCTATTTAATAGGATACACGACAGGCACGTGGGCAGTTAGGCAGGCAGCCTACAAATAGGACAATGCGGTGCTTGTCCTATCCGCGTCTATTAGCCATGAAGTTATCACAGGGAACTGTAGTGAACTAGTGCAATCGTCGCACTATTAGGGCCTCAATGATAGACTAGAGTAATCGTAGAGGAATCAATCGTGGCACACTCAAAACTAAATTAGCGAAAGTATAGATTGTCGGCTGGTTCTCACTCTTTATTGACCATGGCGAAGGCGGCGATAGCAACAATAGTTCCTACGTGTGATGATGTTAATTATTGAAATATAACCAATGGTAATAGCTGGCAAGAAACAATCAGCTTTGCTATCACTGTACTTGTCATTGCTCTTATCGTCATCGTTCGTTGGTTATTGCTCCTTCTTCGTTAAAACAACATTGAGTTTAAAGCGTTGAAGTATTGCACGCGACATGAGCGGCCGGCCATTGCAGCTGCAGACAGTGAGTCGTAACGGCGAAAAGGCGAACTGAGTTAAAAGGACAGGCCGGCTTCTGCTATCTATTATATCGTCATCTACTATTTAGTTTTCTCTTGTTGTTGCCGTTGTTTTTCCGTCTCCTATGTTGATGGTGACGCTGATGATCAATCGTGCGTAGCAAAGTTCAGTTCAGGTGCGGCGCCGCTCCTCGCCCACTGCCGTCGTCAGGATTCGTTTGAAAAGCGAGATGATCGGCGATCAACGTCGACCGAAGCTGCCAAAAGCAGCGTTTTTATCTAGAACATCTATCGGTAGTAGTAGAGAAGTTCGTAGCCCCAGCAGCATCACACTCCTAATCGGTGGATTTCTCTAGCTTGCTGGCTAGCCTCACAGTTTCGCTTAGCTGTTTCAGCTTCAGTTCATCCGAAGACCGCTGGCAGCTGCCGTTGATACTCGATCGAATTGCCACCGCTTTCGCGTCTTCTGTTCAACGCCTGTTCGACCCTAACTGTGTGTTTACCTGCGTCTATGTGACTCAGTGCCTGACAGTCTATCCGTATTTGCGGCTCGTGCTCCTGCCACAGCAGCGTCTGAAAAGAAAATTGCAGAGACAGCAAGCATGTCCGTATGAGGATAGCGATGTCGGTGCAACATCGTAGCAGCAGCGACGATGACGACAACGACATATAGTGTTGAAGCCATGCCAACCGTCAAACAGGGCGACGGCGTAGTCGACTGCGTACGATCGTTTATTCTACTGTAAGCAGCTTCAAGCCAAATGCTATTACGACTACAGCTCTCTGTCACTCGTGGTGCCTGACTCACTACTGCTGCTGCCGCTAATCTGCTCCGGCCGACAGGCTGGTCGGCCGGCCTCAGTGCTCTCTTCTCCCGTAGCCACGACGATCCCGTCGTGCTCTTTGTATGACTGCTGGTGATGATGGCGTTGTCGCTGTTAGTCCGATGACGATTTCCCTGAATGAGTGCTGAACGCAGCAGACGCCGCTGGTTCTCTTGCTCTTGCAGCGGCTACTGCTGCTGTTCAAGGAGTGAGCCGGCGGAGCTTACTACTCGAAACCGCGCTGCCAGATGAAGATTGTCGTTGTTAACTTGAACCTCTACCCAGTATTCGTTTAATACAGTCTAGTGATAATGGCGGCTGTGTGGTATAACTGACGATTCGGTGGTTCGGTTGCTGGATGCCACGGCGGGTGAAAGCTTTATCGGAATTACACGAGAGATAGACGATAACTCGCTGGCCGGGAAGAAACGCGTGAGGGGTTAACTATTGAGGTGGGTCATTTCCTGAATAACTATTGAGGTGAGCTGGAATGAGCTTGAAAAACGATTGTAGAACAGAAAAAAAAATTGCAGACTATAACTTCAACCAGATTATTTGTGTGTCGCTTTGGTTTCAAGCTCCGTTAGTAAGAACGTTATCCTGTCACTTCCTGAGGGTTGTCCTTTGAGGCTCATAGACCCACTTCCGCCCTAAAGTCCCAATTCGGATCGCATTTTATAATTTCGAACACCAAGGCCCCGGTGAAACTCGTCTGTGTACCTAAAAATCGAGTATTCTGGTTACTATTACTACTACTAGAACCGTTTGTGTTAGAATAGAACAGATTAAATAATAACAAAAATATGACAGCGTGCCTTTTATGCTGATATTAACGGTCCGGCAGAAATGCTTTAGATTTAAGCAAAATGAAAAAAAAAAGTAACGATACCTGTCTCTACATTTTCCTGAGTAGTGATTGAGGAGTACTTTTTCGGGTCATCTTCAATCTTCTCGACCTTTTACTGTCTCTAGAAGCAATTTAACTAAGGTGGCCGCTGCTTCGCACCATAAGTCTCTTTACAAAGGGACCGTCAGGGGCGGACAATGAGCGGTCAGACTTAGAGTTTTTGTTTTTCTCGTTGTTAGTATTTAGATAAAATAAATGAACGACCAAAGCGATTTTGCTGCGAAAAGCGATATATGTATGTGTATATATATATATATATATATATATATATATATATAGTTGGGATGTGCTAATGGCAGCCGATGAAGCCGTATGGCTGACGCCGTTACCGCTATTGCTGATAAGGAAGGCCATGCCCGTTGTATAGGTTGCGTTGTGTAAATGATTTTCATTGTCGTAGTGGCCAAATTGCTGGTGCCCGATCGGACGTCTGCTACAGAGCGCGTTCGTTGGCTATTCATTTCTTGCCTTACTGTCTTGATCTTCCTTTCGCTGCTGCTTTGGTTCTGTCTACCTACGCATCTCGCCATACCCAGCACGCGACGGCCTGATCCGCGTGTAAACAAGCGCCTTGACGATAGTAGCAGCAGCGGAATACGTAAGCGTAGAATAATGTTCGTCGAACGTCACCGATACGGCTACGCTACACTATGGTACGAAACGTGCTGCTGCTGTTTGATAGACAATATTTGACGCTGCGCGCCACTCGTCTGAGAACAAGCGAGAAGAATAGCAACAGCGGGAATAAAGGCAAATGGCAAGCTTTATTTTGTACCCCAGAAAAACCCACACTGATCGTCGGATGCGGCCGATGCTGACAGTACTTCTCCTGCAGACGAAGCTGCTACAGCAGCAATTGTTCCTATCATTGTGACGCTGCTTACTGCGGTAACGCTGATGAGCGACGGGCCTATGAACCCGTCCACCGATCGTAGGCCTGGCTTCGACGGCGACCTGTCGTCCGGCTGCTCTATCTGCAGCCTGTTCAACAAACTAAGATTGCTAATTCTTATGGTAACAGCAGCGTTGGAGCGATGCTGCCGGGGGCTGTAGCGGCAGCAATAGCGGCAGGCGAAACAGAGCGTCATCACGACACGCACCGCTGGTGTCTGTCTTCCTACAGCTTCTCATTGCTGTTTCGGCAGTTTGCTCGCCTTCTGAAGACAGATAAGTAGATCGGAGTATTAGAACATACAGTTTTAACCTCCACTACAATTACTGCCAGCAGCACACTACAGCCATTGCGGCCACTTATGAACATCGACGGCGACCGCAGGGGCGGCAGATGCTACAATATAGGGAAGACGGGGGTGGCGGCAGTGGCGATGGTTGAAATGAGATGGATTCTGGTACGCGCCACACACACATATATATCGGCTTTTTTCGTAGCTAGATTAGTAGTTGGTTAGAAGAGCCCCTACAATTTTGCTCAGCAGATATCACCATACTATGCCTGTAGCTCTGCAACTGTTCGTTTATTTAGTATTGTTTGGTTACAGATGCATTAGCGTAATCACACTCCACAGCTGGACGGTTACACTGTTTAGCACAAACAAAAAAAAAATACGGTGACATTTTACTGATGAATACCGCCACTTGAAAATTTCGCTTCTTCTTGCCGTATCAATGATATCGAGACCCTAACATCCACCAGTTGACCGCACGATACTACACTAAAATAATAATAAGTCAGGTTTTTAAATCCTGCTGTACAGTGTGACGGTTATAGTTGCCAGTAAGTGTGTGCGTCTTGGTAAGTTTACGCACACAGGATGCCTGTACGGTTTCATATCGTCAGAGTTATTTTGAACTGTTGCAGTTATCGCTGCTATTGCTTCTGACCGTCGCGGAGACGACTAGGACAACTAACCGACGAACGATCGAACGTTTGGTTTAACTTAGCCACGCCGCTGAGTCAGCCGACCTCATCGGAGTGTCATAAGTGCCTGCGTTCTCCTATCGATCGATGGTGCGATCTTTCCACCTGTTTTTCTTCTTTTTCACTGGCTCTTTATTCTGCTGCGTTAGTTCTAGCTCTGCTTCTTCGTCTTCTTTTCATTTTTCGTTTACGTCTCCTCACTGTGAGTTGTTGCTCAGTTGATGGCTGCGATTGCAATGGCGGTCGTGGTCGTTCGTTCGCGTTTCTCTGCGATTCGACGAGGTGCGTTAGCAGCGGCAAATGATTCACTACGATGGAGTGCAAAACGTCTGTCCATTGGCGCCTCATACAGCTAGCTATCCGTTGTTCGTTGCTTCACGGACCGCTTCGACGGTCTTTTAGTGACGTGTCCTCCGCCAGAGCGTTGCCGCCATTGTTATGCCGATATTGCCTATGTTGTTGTTAATACTGGCTGACGCTGACCATGATAGGGACGTTGTTGTTGTTGTTGTTGTTGTTGTTGTAGTTGTTAACGTCTAGCAATAGCCGACAGCCGCTGTGGCAGCGGCCCTCTGGCGGCTCTCTGCTCTGTTACCTTCACCTTGTGCTATATCCTTTTCTACCTACATGGCGTCTCTGCAACTAGCACTACCGTTGCTGCCTTTGCCCGCTGTATTCCTCAAGCACATCATTGCTTTAAGCATTTATCGGTATGGATCATATGTGTGTGACTGTGGGAGCGAGCGCGAACCGCTCAGGGGTCATCGGCTTTGTCTGCAGATGTTGCTGTTCTTGTTATTGCTGCTCCTTTTTACAGCTGCTGCTGTCGTTACTGTTGTTATTGTCGTTTTTCTTGTGCGCTGCGGTCCCAGTTTAGTTATGGCAATACTGGCGGCGAGGGCTGCTGCTGCTTCAGGGATAACCGCAACAGCTACAGCAACGCCGTGAGCAGCATGTTTAAATGCTGGCCGCGGTGACCATCGGGTTCGTGGCCGCAGCTGGGGCAGCTGCCACCATCAGCGCTATGGAATAGAACGGATTGTAGACAGGAGTGGATTATCTGCCTTGCGTCTGTGTGAGTCGAAGCCAAGAGCGACACAGCAAGCGCTATTAGGGCGTTTGCTCCGCTGGTGGCATGCAACTAGCTAAACCGAAACGACAAACATGGCAGCGCAGCGCAGCGCAGCGCAGAAGAAAAAAAGCTAACGGATACACAAGCTTACGCAGCGCTACGAGTGAGCCACTGGCCGTCTGCTTGCACGCGAGAGGCTGAAACGGCAGCAGCACCACTGTCACCTCCATATTCGATACTACTGTCGAGCTAGGTGACTGTACCTAAAATATTTCGCCCTTTTCGTCGAAGATAAGGAAGATAGAAGAAGGAACAACAACAACGCCGCGGCCGACTACTCTGTCGATCATGACCTCTGGTTGGTCGGATCTCCGTCTTTTTTCTTCTTGCTGTCATGTCTATATTCGACTAATATCTGGTGTCTTTTTTGCCAACCCATTCACGCCAAGCGGGATGAGAAGTAGAATTAGTACTGCATCTAGTTGTAAAACGCGTGCTCTAAAGCTACAGCTATAGATCATGCTGATAATGCTTATGATGCTACGTTGATTTTCGAGCGGTTTGATGATGATGACGACGGCGACTGTGGTGGCGGCGATACCAGTCTAGCGACTGCTTGACGTCTGACAGTTCGCGTCGAACAGTTGAACGCGCGCGCTCGAAGGCCCGTCATTCTCTGGCTCTGTTTGTCTGTCCACCCGTTCAAATCCTGGATACACATCGCTCACCGCGACGGAGCGCTGCGACGACCATTTTGGTGACTGTGTTGTGTGGAATCCCTGTCCGTGCGCGCCTGGCCTATGCGCTCACAATAATGCGAGGGGGTGAAAAGGAGCAGGACAGAGTAGATTAGAGCTCGAGTGCCTCCTTGTGTTGCTGGACGCGACCAGAATCAAGCTGCTGCTGCTGCTGGTGCTGCCTGCAGAGCAGCAGAAGCAGCAATGTTATGCGGCGACGGCCTTCTCTACACCGTCCTTTTCCTACGCTCGTTTACGAGAAGAGCAAGTAGCCCGAAAACAGGATCAGATAGACGTATAGTTTGAACGACTAAGCAGAGCTAGGAAAAAGTGAAGGGATGGCACTCACGTGCTGGTCACCACTGTGCCCGCAGTTTGTCGAGGCGACAGGAGCCGTTGTGCTCGTCACGAGTGGTGGAAGAGTATCAATACCGGCTGCTAGCACCGTTACCAAACAGGATTGCTGAAGTGAATAACTTCATAGCATAACTGGCTAAATGGACGATAACCGACAACAGTCAAATAAGGGGATTACAATAATGTGATTAAGTTGTAAGACGAGATGCGTCGTATGCACTGAGCGTATTGTTGTACTTGGCTTTTTCGAATGTCCATAAGAAAATAGTTATTTCTATTGGAGAACCATTTTAATGGTCAGTACATTTATGATAGGAACGCTGTCGTTACCTGTTTATGGACGAACACAACGATGGTGACTACTTACGGATGGATGGAACGTTGTTATTGTAAGAAGCGCGAAATAGTGTGAAAAAAATGAGAACTAAGCGGCAGCCTATGGGTCGCTAATTCGATAACGCTGCATTGGCGTACACCCGCATAATCGTTTATTTTCTGTATGTCAAAAAATCTCGCAGGAGCCTTTATAGTTGGGTTGTATTTTAGTACGCGCACCGCCTCGTATCCCATGGTCGTATGAATTGACAAAATGAATGATCTTGGCCGCACAGACATGGCCAATGTGCTATGGGCTCAAATGTGATCCGTTCTCGGTTTAACTCGAGTAAACAAACGCTAGCTAAGCTTGAATCACTAACAACGTATACATGTTTTAGAGCTCATAAAGGTAATTCGTTTTAAAATATCAGGGAAACATATGACTTTTTTTTCACAGAATTAATTAGCTTTCGTTCCTCGCCCCTTTTCACTATAAGACCAAATTAGCTAACTTTTATAATATAATCTCTTACAATATATTTGATATTGAAAGTTAGTCGTGAATAATTTGGGAAAAAGTGAAGTCGCAATGTTTTACCATACCACTGCACCGTGATTCAGTAAGTGGTAGCTTGTCTGATGGACCATTTTGCTGCTGCTGCTAATAACCATTCTTCGTGTTACTTTTCTTATGCAGGAGGAGAGTCACCGCTGAACAGCCAGACAGCGCAGGGCAAAAAGCGCCGACCACTGGACGACCTGTCCGTGTCGGTAACTGGTGACTCGAAGAAGAATCGCCCTGAGGATATTGCCGACGACGCGTCATTGCCATTGCCACCGTGCGAGGCCGTTGAGGCTGCCGTATGCGCAGACACTGGCAGCGATCGGGCTCAGGAGAATCAGCAACCAGCTGCCACCCTTGCTGCAACCCTGGCCGCACAACTACCCCCACTTCCAAGCGTCAACGGAGTTAGCATTGGGGTGGGAGTCGGCGTCAACGGCATTAGCGGCGCAAGCGTTGCTATCAACTGCGTCAGCCTAAACGGCACGGTCACATCAATGGCGCCGCTTTCCCCCCTCGTCAGTACAGCTCTACCCTCGCTTTCGACCCTTTCCACAACCCTGTCAGCGACATTGCCAACACCCCCTGCTGCTCACCAACAGGTAGCGCAAACTCTGCCCGATGATGTGATTATCCCGTCACCGCCTTCACGCCGTCGATCGCTGCTCATGTGGAATCCCCGGTTAAGAGGTGCGTTGATAAGACGAGCCTATCCATAGTAATATTAGTCACTGGTTTAGCACGCGCCGTGAAAGAAATTACTCAATTGGTAGTCGGAGCTATATGTCAGCAGTACAGCTACTATGGTAAAATCAGTGGCATCGTGCATATGTGGTTGGCCTTGTTACCACGTAACCGTAGCCAAGGTTTTATATACAGCACGTGAAAACGGTCATGGTAGTGTTTGGTTATATTTCTTCACTGTGGAACAGTGATGTGCCAGCTGAACGATTTTCGGAGCGCTAAGAATATTGATTTTCCTTTATGCATCTCAATACGTCAGTTTTTATATATAGTTTTTTTTTTGTTTTTTTTTTTTACTAAACATGCTTAAAATAGCTTCTTAATAATGTGTCAAATAATGGCTAACAGAATGCATGCTAGTAATTTACGATAATAACTGGATAAGATAACAATTTTTTTGCTTTAGTATATCTCCGGCGCCTTGAGGCGGCTTCAGAGATAGTAATTATCGATGCCGATTCAAATACGTTCATTATATTTCTTTGATCCTCGTTGGCTCAACTTTGTGCTGTGGGCTAATGTAGATATACACTTTGAAGATAATAACCGTAGGTGTAAATATATTTGTCAAAAATTACGAGAATATGTGTAAGTGTGTGTGTTATGTGGTCGCTTTACATGCACATCCTTATGGCAGTAAATGCACAATATAGACCCAAAGTTTGTTAAGGAAAGACCGGCGTTATTTCCCGCATTGCACATATGATCCGTCGTCAGCGATTTCTTAGCTGGTGTTGGTGTACTGTTGTTGCCCCAAGCGACTGTTGTGATCGGCCTTGGTTAGTCTTGATTATTCTGGCGCCTCACAGCCGTCTGCGTGTTTGGCCATTTGTGGCTCTACGTGCTTGATTGTGTGTGTCTGCGTGTGCCTGTCGCATTGTTTTCGTTTAACGTTGTATCCGCATTTCAACGGCACTATTGCGACGGCAAGGTGATACGGCATACTGCAATGTCCACGAATGCAGCGAACCACTTTAGAACCACCAGTCAGTCAGTCAGTCAGTCAGTCGATTGGCAAACTTGTATTTAAAATGCTCTGTTTCTGTTATCTTTACAGGCAAGGATGAGCGTCGTAAGGTGCTAAAGATTTCCATTTCCAAATTGCGCCTCATCGACGATCCTGAAGTGTTCTTACGCCGGTCGGTTCTCGTCAATAACACGCTGAAGAAGTTGCAGAAGGAGATTCGTGACGAAAAGACCTCGCAGCGTTTCTACGACGTTCGGAACGCCTGGAGGCCACTAGCAGAAGAGACTTGCTTTGACAGCGTTGACCCACCAGCTAAACGCCGCAAAGATGCCGAACCTGAGGACTTACGGCAGGAGTCATCGGACGAGGAGATTTTTGGTGTTAGCTCAGACGTTGTGCGGGTCTCCGTACCAAAGCAGCCAACGAATAGTTCCTCATCGTCATCATCGAGTAGCGAAAGCGAAGACGAGACTGCCGAGTCCACACTGGCTGCAGCCGACCAGCAAGCAGGGTGCGTTTGCCAGGGTAGCGAAGGCTCATCGCAAGAAATGGCATCGCACTCTATGCTATGCAACCCGGTTATAGACAGTACACATGAATGCCGAGATAGTAACAATAGCAACAACCGAAACGGAATAACAACTGAAATGGACCTCCTGCAGCAACAACAGCAAAGTCCATCCTGTTCATCATCGACAGCGTCACCAACATCATCCGGTTCACCGCCGCCGCCGCCGCCGCCGTCGTCGTCGTCGTCGTCGTCATCGTCGTCGTCGTCGTCATCGTCGTCGTCGTCGTCGTCGTCGTCATCGTCATCGTCGTCGCCGTCGTCGTCAACAGGTTCAGTAACGTGCGCCACGCAATTTCGCCGACTGGAAGACAGCGTGTCAGTGTTGGACTCGGTCGTGTACCACAGCTTGATCGCCTCACTCGAGTCGTGACTGCTACTACGGGCGCCCGCTGCTGACGCCCCGCTGATAGCTGCTAACCCGAATCCGTGTGCCAGCCAGCCCTTATGAAATGGGGGGCATGCTGCGATTATATGAAGGACGAGGGCGTGCGAACAACAACAGCGGCGACAACAACAACAACAGCGACGGCAACGTCGCCACCGCCACCGCCACCGCCGCCGCCGCTAATCTTCGCTGACTCCGTCGGCCACGGTAGCAATTGCGGTCCACCACAAACATCAAAATCACAGGATGTCAATGTCAACAACAATGCCGATACTTCTGCAGAAACTGACGAAGTTGATGGTGATGGTGACTGTGACTGGTGTTATTGTGCTGGAGGACTGAAGCGGATGCGTACATGTGTTGATACTCTGTAATATACATATATAAATATATATATTATTGTTGCTGTTATCTCTGTATATATATATATATATATATATATATATATATATATATATATATTAATATAGTATTAATGATATCACTATATACCTAAATAGTATGATATCTATGTGTAGAAAGGAAGAAGTCGTAGGACGAAGAAAATGGTCGTCGAAGTGTATCGTCAGCGACAAAACAAGCGCGAGGGAGAAGAAGTAAGCCGGCAAACTTTGAGAAAAATAGTAAAACAAATTGAGGTAACTACAGATAGGAAGTAAAATCGTAGCCCTTCTTATTAGATAGCTGCTTCAAATGTGTAAGCAGTTGCTGTTTGCTCGCAAACACTGATTGATGTCGACTAATGCCTCTAACGCCGTTGCCCGTAGCTATTGTGGTGTCGTTTTTGCCTTGAATCGGGGGAGGCTGGAGACTGCTGGAGGCCGTCAACAGCCCGCGAGAACGAACGAAGGCTACGGCAGTGAACAAGAGATTGCTTATGAGCAATCGTAACCACAACTATTATAATGACATCTGCAACTGCAATACGTAATTGAACAAAAACCAAACCCAGAACTTGCCAAACGAAAATCAATCCAGGACATAATGTTCTGATCGATCATTGTTCACACTAGTTCAGCATGCATTAATTCGTCCATTTCATCGACTTCGTAATCATAATCACAAGTAAATTAATGATGCCCTTAGTAAAATCAGTGTAAAAAATCAAAACATACTAACTACACATTATTATAATGAAAAATCCATGCAGCATTTCTATTGTCAGCCCCCTTTACCAATATTATTAATACGTCGTAGCAATTTCTATTATAAATACTACTGAAGAGCTCCCATCTGTTAGAAATCATTAACTGCCGGCCGTCATCACGAGGAAGATATCATCGGCAACTTGTGTCGCCTTTACCGCTCTTACGATTGGTAGAATAGAATGCAAACAATTAGTACTGCATAAGTATCCACTTGCGCTAGTACTGCCATTTCGATGACAACAACAACAACAACAACAGCAGCAGCAGCAGCCGAAAGTGACAAACGACGGTAACAACAACAACAACAACAGTAAAACCAACCTGGGCGACGACGACGACGACGACGACGACGGCGGCGGCGGCGGCGGCGACGACGACGACGACGACGACGACGACGACAAACAGCAATCTTCGTTAAAAATCTTGCCTTCCCGGCTCGTCACGTCGCTGTTCCTAGCCCTTCCTTACGCCACGCAATTGACTGATAACCACAGACGCTGCAGATGGCAACACTAACAATACGAATGATGAGAGCAAGAATAATAGTTAACTCGTTGTTATTTTCTGCTGCTGCTACGGCCGTTTTTTGCTATTTCTCATGCGGCAGTACGTGTATCAGAACAGGAGACCGACGTCAAGACGCCGAAGTATTAAAATGTCGGATGGCTGTCGTGCGGTAAAATAGAATTTTCGAAAGAGAAATTCACATGTGAAGGCAATACTGGTGTCGTAGAACGAGTATGATCCTATAATTGTTTACACAGTACAAGCCTCTTATTTGTATTGCAATATCTCACTGTACAGACGAAGAATAAAACAGTTTCGTGGTCGTTTGTCGAGGAGAGAAGCGAAGAGCAGGGAAAACGAGAAATTGGTAGCGACGCTGAGGTCTATTGTGGAAAAAAAGATGAAAGGAATTTAGCAAGAGCGGAACAAGCGAAAGGACAAAGTGTGTCTTACCTACGGACAGATAGCGGTGGCCATAGAAGTGACGCTGGAGGGACGGGCTAAGGCGTATACGGGCACGGGCTGTATAATATTGTGATATTACGATCATTATTATTATTATTGACAAAAAAATTAACTGACAATGCATGAAAGAAAGACTGAACAGATGAAGGGTCGTTAAGTTCACAGAGACTAACTAGAATGGGTAGCTGTCGCGCATGTATCCAGGCTTCTGGGCAAATGCATTATATTCGAATAGTACCATATGGGACGAACTGCCAGACGCTAAAACCGACATGCATACCGTCGACCGACAAAATACCGTGTGATAGTCCCATTATTAACACAATAGCAGTATTTCGAACGAACAATAAATGATAATGTTAACCTAGACGAGATTACGATACACAGTTCACCTCCCAACCATAAACACCTGCCAGTCACGACGTAATAACGTGCCGTGAAAATCACGGTAGTAATAGTAAGCTGTTTTGCTAAGATGAAGCCCCGTAATGTAAGAGGTCTTTGATTTGATTGCACAACGGGAAGCAACGACCTTTACACGTAATAACAACAGAATACTGATTAGCCATCAAGTGATGATCGTGTGATAGGAAGCTGCAATAAAAGTAAATTAGCTGAGGGACGAAAATGTACGCGGGTAGAACCTCTAGAACAAAGGAGGAAAGTAAAATCTACCTCGATCGAACATCGCTTTAATCGTTCGATTACCGCAACGGGCACACACTCACAATCGAATGCTGTAAAGGATACACATTGTACATTATAGAGCAGAATGCAAAATACAAAGACCCCACTCGATTTCATTGTGGGTTGGTATCTCGCCGGTCTGGTGCTAATGTGACGGGGGCGGCGGGCGGGCTGATTGATCTCAGCGACTCCAAAGTCTGGCTTTTCCCACTTTACTAACTCACTCATACAGGTGCACAAGCAAAAAATGCCGACTTCAAATACATAGCAGTTCCAAAGTTATACGTACACGTGTATATTGCAATAAACATTGTTTAAGTGATTGGTCTAATGGCTGGACACACAATTACGTGCACACGCTTACGGACACGTATCAGCATAGCTAGACAAAGAACGGTGCCAGAAGGACGAAAAATAGTTTTGCACGAAACCATCGTCATTTGCCCATCTACCCAACAAGTCATCGCGAAATTGCTAATGCAAGTACGCGTTAGGAGGTTTTGTCCAATAAGGGAAGGGGGACAATGAGGTGTGAGTGAAGAGCATGGAATGTCTCAGTTGTATGTGAGTGGTATGAGAAGGCTATGTGGGGTATAAAGCAGCAAGTCGACAGGCGTAAAATTAATATCAACCGCTTCTACTCGTCGCCAAGCCAGTGTATGTTCATCATAGGAAAATAGCACATAAGACGGATTAGTAGCTAAAATAAAACGAAGCACAGGTAAAAAGCAGTGAAACCTACTTGGAGCATTAGGGGTCAGTCCCTCACCTTCGGCTGTAAATGCTGATGACAACGGAAAGCGTGCACGCTTTGAACGACGAGGTCACGAGGGGTGTTTCAAAGGAGCAACCATTGGTTTTTCCGGCTATCGAGAAGTTCAGGTACTAGGCGTCAGTTATAAACCACAAAAGTATTTAAAAATAAGTAAGAGTGGCCTTCAAACTGGATGGGCGACAATGGGTAGGGACAGAGAACGCTATCCGTATCATATGGCCAAAAGCGAAAAGGTCATAAAAGAGATTTAAAATGGACGAGTAAAACAGTTGAATTATAATCGGTTCTGCAAACCTACCCGAGCACGTAGATGTCCTCTACCTCATTAGCTGCAGTGCGCGACAGCTACCCGTTGGCAACTGAGGGTGAATGCGACTAATAATGTATGCAGACAGGTAGAAGAAAAACAAGTTTAGCTTGACTCTTCTTATGCAGGAAAGTAAACGCATAATCCTAGAGGCAGAAAATAGTTATGAAAACAAAATATATATAAGATGCGGAAAAAAATAGATAATTACTGTAGTCTGGTAATACGGTTAACACCGACGAATAGTGCTGACGAAAAATACAATACAATACGATGATGCCGATGACCTCATAATAAGTATGGCGATGATGATGGTCATAAAAATCAATATGAAGATATAATAATAGTGGCTATAATATTTTAGATGATGAAAGTCGGATCGTGATTTCGGATCATTAGCAATGTTGATAATAATGGCAGATTATTAAAGAAATGATGATGAAGACAATTACACTGATAACTAATGGGAGATACAGCGAAACTGGTGCACCTAAGAGACAGGTTCTATGATTTTGCTACGACCACCACGTTTTTTCGGCAACGACGATGAACGATGATTGATAATTACCGAGAAGTTCTAACAATGATCGCTGTGCATGTGTACGTGTACCAGTGATTGGTATGCCATTGGCGATCATTAGTAAAGACCGATCATGGATTAGCATGTGCAATGATTGATGAGAAAATACAGCTTGCAGATGACGATAGTGAAAATTCAAGGGAGGGAATTAGGACAGTTCACAGTAATTTGATTGATTGATTGATTGATCATTAATGACGGTGACTGACAATGATACTCGAATCAATTTCTGGATGGTACGAGAAGGATAACGTCAGATATGGCTGATCATATCACGCCCGATGGTGTTAATCACACCACTAAGCGGATTATAATGCCGCATCGATCACTAACTGATCGATTGATTCGTTGGCACAAATATTGTCGCCGACGCAAAATGCCGACTAGTGGTGACGTAGAGAAAAAGTATATGTGTATATATATGTAAAAGTATATATATATATGGAAAAAGTATGTATATATACATACATACATATATACAAACCTGTTCAGTGGGTGATACTGATATAGTGACAATGGCGACGTCTCTCTCGTCACACTCACGATTGCTAACTAATGTGTAAAATAGCAATGTTTCCCGCACGGTACAGCGAGCTGGTTAACGGGCAGCCACGCGGCGTCATTGACACGACCATACAAACATAGAAAGGGTGTCATGCAAAAAACAACTTACGTTAAAGACAAAAAAAATACTATATAGGATTGTGTAGAAAGAAGGAAGAAGAAACGGAGGAGGAAATTCGGGGAACCTGACAAAGGACGGTGGTGACAATGTATGAGGTTAAAAAACAAAAAAAGAAAGGAAGGAAATATAATAAACAGGTTCTTGTACGCAAATGGATTATGAACTGTGGCCGTGTGGTCTGAGAGCCGACTCTGTGCCGTCACGGTGATTCAGATTCCTGCCCTGAAAAATATGGACAGAAGATCGACGAAAAAGAGAATGCTGTATTTAAATCTATATATTATAACTTAAATTAAATAAAATAAAAATTGGTATTTTCTTAAATTTGATTAAACTGACTTTCGGTTGTATTGGTTCAACTGCTCTAAAGAGGACAGTCTATGAGGCACTAAATAATTAAAAAAGGTGCAGAAATGTGGGTTTACATAGGAACTTAATGGGAATATTGGGTAGCTTTGAATCATTTGTCGGGTTATGCAAAAGTACCATAAACTCGAGGGAGTACTTCGGGATTATATCGTTTTGTGATAGAAAAAGCTTCATATGATCTAAGTTAATTTATTTACAAGTTTGAAAAACTAATAATTAATCGGCCAGATTGTCGAACAGTCTTCCGTAAACTAGTTGGGTACCTTTCGATCTAACAACTGGATAAGGCCCAGTTGCAAATTAGGCTATAACTAAAGACAAAGTCGCACTACAGCAGCGAAGCTCAGGTTAAACTGATACTTCTCAGTGACTTCTAAAAGATACTATTTAGAAATCGTCTGATGTCATCAACATAGATACAATTTGCGTATCGAAAATTTATAATTACCACCATTTCTTATTCGATGTGTTATACGACAATTGATGCAGGTCAGCTGAGTACGCTGAGATTTGTCCCCTTGATTTTTATCAACTAGAATTTGAATACACAAGAGAATCTTTTAGTCTTAGTGTGCTTGGCCTGGTGATTATCTTGATGTTTAGTCCTCTTGCAGCACGCGGTCACTCCCAACCCCGATAATTAAAACAAGTAAATTTATGTTAATAAATCAATACAGATACTGTGCCACGGTACGCATCCAATCAAATATAGATTTGGTTTCCATTTTTAATTTAATTTAGACCTTATATTGGGGCGTGCTTGCTAGTAAACTTCATCGCCAAATAGCCTTGATATTTCACTTTTTGACACATCTGCACCCGCACAGAATGATTACTAACACGGTGCTGACTTGCGCTCAACCCAGATTCAAGCGCCAATAAAGCACCACTTTTACAGCATCCTATGCCCCCAGTAACAGAAGTCAGGTATTCGCAGTCACGTGGAGGGTCGGTAAGTTGCTTAACTATGTATTTTTGTCCTATAACTGAGTTAGGTGTATGAAAGCACGTCCTAGATTGAAGATTCAATGTTGACACTACTAAGAAAGAGATTTTTGTGGTATAGACTCAATGTAAAATTTGAAACCACCGAATTTTGGAAAAGTCGCAATAGTTCGCCACCGGGTAGCTTCGAACTACCAACCTTTCGGTTAACAGCCGAACGCGCTAGCCGATTGCGCCACGGAGGCCTGTGTTAAACCCCATTCCCAACTCTTTCAACAGGACAGACCTTCCAGACGCCTAGCGAAAAACGTATTTAATTCATCGGCAAACACATTCTCATAAAGGTATGCTAAAACAAGAACGGCCATTAATTAGAGGCTCGAATGACAGTTACACATGGTTTCCCATATAGCAGTCAAGCCGAATTTGATTTCTGCCCTAATCCGGTCACCACAATGGCTAGCTAATCCCATTTGAAAGCCGCAGTGTATTCTGCACATATTTTAAATGTCGTTGCTTCACAGATAGTCAGGACAAAGCGATCACTTATAAAGTACATTTTGAGTGACGGGAAAGTACTCCCGGGGTACGTTTAGGTAGCAAATTTTCATCACAGTCCTTTGACGATTTTTTGCCAACTTCAAACTCATGTCTCACTCGCAACATTTGCTTCATGTAACTTCGTTCTAACTGAACATGAAATTAGATTAATTTGAGATGAATTTGTATATAGATAAATTTAAAGATATAATGTCCCACGAAGAGTAACATTGCGTTAGGTTTGACTGCTATACAGGATTCAAAATTCACGATTAAAGAAATGCTAACGGTGGTCGTGGGAACAAGTAGAAAACACAGACTTTAATGTAGGAAAAGTTACGTGCGTCGGCCGGCAATCGAACCCGCCATCCGCGTGGCAGGTGAGTGTTCTACCACTGACCCACGGCAAGAGAGTCACGTAAATATAACCTTACATCAAATACTTCATGTGCGAGTTCAGTAGAACAAGTGGCATATTTTACATTAGGCTTTACTTATGACAGCTGCTCAGTTTGTTAAATTGCTTAAAGAATTCTACATTAAACTGCACCTGAGATATGAGCCTACGAAAATTTCGATTTGGTGGTGATGTCAAATCATCTGTGTACGGAAACGTCCTTCGAAAAACCGAGGCGCCGTGGCTTAGTTGGTTAAAGCGCCTGTCTAGTAAACAGGAGATCGTGAGTTCGAATCTCACCGGAGCCTTACGCTATATATTTTCATTTGACGACTATAGAATAATAGGCTACACATAACGGTAACTGTAATAACGGTATATTCGGATGGTGTGGGCGATGTTAAATTAATAGCCAAGCTACACCACATTTCTTTATTTTGCCACCGAAGGACGGGCTTACCACCATTTGATTATACACATTTTATTTATTTATTATTAGAAATAAATTTATTGAAATACACCCTTACCTACAATGGAGTGCAGTTCATGTTGTGAAATGTAGGTTCCACTACCTCTAAACTCATAATGGAGATCCTTTCAAACATCGTTTTCGGATGAACCGGCAGTATCGAACTCAAAGCGGCGTGTACCTATTTATGTTTCACGCGACAGTTAGTCTATGTATTTAGCTACACCATTTTCATTTCACCATGCTAGCTTAGGCTTCTTTGACCTAACTTCCTGTTTGCTTTGTCCTTTGCTCGAGCCAGCGATAATTCTCGGAAAAATATCTAGTCGATTTTGAAATGATGACCACGACGTTTAGTTAACCCATTTTTGAATTACTTCTTTCTTTTATTATAACCCATTAATTTATAAATTCTGCATGTGTAGTTGGCTTATTGTCGCAAGTGAAAACGATAATATTAATAAAAATCTATGACAGTAATAGCCATACGCAACAGTTCGTACGCAATTCCAATTTGTTGTCAGACACCAGTTGGATCTAGACAATGTACAAAGAGTAAGATTAATTAAACAACCACAACCACCTCATCGAAACGAAAAGTCCGAGATTTCGAATCATCGGACACCAGATCTCTTGAGTCAACAGAATCGGATTCTACTGAATCTGGCATAGAAAGTCGGCATATATAACATTAAACGTCGTCTTCATATATGTTGCAACTATAAGGATTCATTGTACACTATCAACGACACTATCTTGACAACAAATCTACTCATTGGGTCGGGGACTCATCGGCAGGATAATCTGCAGTAACGATCGCCTAACTGCTATGGCCGTTAGCTATAACAACATCACCGTTTCTTTAATAAATAATCTCCTATGCTTCATATAAATTTAGCTACTCTAGTCTAAGAAGACATGTAGGGGCAATTCCTTCGCTCTTCACGACAAAGATCACCTCCCTGAAGGGCTTGTCGAACTGAAAACCAATCAAAATTAACCAGGCAGACAAACAGACGGCAACAGGTTAAATACGGCACGTGATACCTATTTGGAATCCAATTTTAAAACGATGAAATATCGTGTTCGCCATATGCTTTGAATAGGGGTTCTATTGGGGCGGTGCTACGGCGTCAAATAGCTCGCAGCGTTGGTGGAATAAAACTTACGTGATCGTCTCTAGCCAGCTCCTCCCTTCTTTGTTTTTCGAGACTGCGCTGCGACGGGGCCTGTGACGTAGTTCGTATTAAAGTCTCGATAAGCTCGTCACCATCCGAGCCCGACAGGTACTCCCCTACAAGTCGTGCAGAAGATATTGCATCAATCATGCAAAAAGATCCGTTGGTTGGTCTTGATAATAGAATGATTCCACCAAATTACTTCTTGCTTCACGCGGTACAACACTTGCACGTTCAGGAGCCGCTCCACACTGAAAAAAGGCACACAACACAAATTCGCATGATAACATTGAAACTCTTCTTACCGTTAGAATAATACAGTACATTTTCTCGTCAGAACATGAAAATTTTAGACTATTAAACCTCTTCGATAATTTTATCATATAGG